TGGTTTTGTTTTGCTGTGTTTCTTGGGCTTGTCCAAGGAACTTGACTTTGTAGAGGTCATCTTCTTGGATCCTCATTCTTTTATTTTTTATACAATTACCCTTTACCAAAAAAATAATCACTTATATGTAAATGAGGAAACAAAGTGAACTGGGCCAAACATGTTCTCAAGTAAAGAAATTAAAGCAAATTTTTTATGCCAAAAGTGGCTGAAAAAGGGCAAGAATTGCATGAACCAACCATGTGCGGTGACCCACGAATGGAGGGGTTAGACAGACGGGATTGGAAGGGGTTTTGGTGAGGGAGTGATAGGGAGTATTTTGGTGGTGGTGGGAGGGCTCAACGGTGCTGTTTGCTTTTTCGGTCAATTCTGTCACCAGAAACTGTTCTTGTCACGACCAATAGACTCAGTGGCTCTTCCTCTCCAAAAGCCCTAACATTCTCGATCCTATTTGCTCACCAATCACTAGTGATTAAAGCTTCCTCATCCCAAGGTTTTTTTCGAGTTTTGATTGATGAATTGGGTTTAATTCCTTCGGTTATTTGTGTTTATTGGGTTGAAAAACGATTGAGAAAGGTTTATTTGATGTGGTTTGTTTGTTGATTTTCCGGTTGCCGACACTCCACAACGCTAGTGGCAATTCCTGGCAATGGAAGTTATTTACTCTTAAATCAAATATGAAAGTTTGAAGCATGAGATATATAACACCTTAAATATAAAATTAGAAATGCTATAAGATAACTATCAAAATCAGGCCCTTGGATATTTTTGGGAGACCTTTATTACTTATTCAACAAGTTCATAGTGTAAACACAAGCTTCATTATTGCTTCAAGGCATGAAAGAAAAAGACCTGACAGTTTTTGGTAAAGTAGGAATTAATGCAGAGAGGCTCAAAGAAAGAGAAATAGTTAATAATTGTCAGGAAATTTCCATGAACCTTCCTGCAGGAAGCTATCAGCATTTTTTTGCTGTTTTTTTCTTTGAAGACCATGTGAAGGGGAGAAAAAAGCAAAAAGAAAAAAGAAAACTAATGAACACAGACTTGGAATTTTGATCCACTGATTTAAACTACACATTTACTTGACTTCTTTACATAACATATATTTGGATCATTTTAATTAATCACATCCCATATCTTTAAAAGCAATAGAGCAAACGATATGTTCACACTAGAGATTAAGTGAAATCTCAAGTTCATACCCTAGCTATATTTATTTTAGATTTTCACTCTTAAGCTAACACTATTAGTGACTACTAGAGGTGGTAGGAAATGGTGAGTGAGGTCAACAAATTAAGGTGTGAGTTTTGTAGAGGAGGTTGTGGGGAGACCAACGGTAGTATCGGAAATGACTTTGGACTTCGGAATCGGGGAAAAAAAAAAAGCCAAAAACTGTCGACTTGGACTCTGCTAACGGAAGCCCTTCTTTCTAAAATGAGCCCTTCTTATGTCAAGAAAACGGTGGACATTTTAGCGTGTTAATATTGTACTGTGTTATAGTGAAAAGTTGATAATCTGTTAAAATAAAGAAAACGACATTACTTTAAAGATGTGAATCTATATAAATGCAAAAAGATATCAACTTAGGATTTCGCAAAACTTGATGGGAAATGTTGGTTTGCTCTATATGAAATTAGGGAATCGCTTCATAAACTGTCTGTCTGGATGACTTGTGTTGACTAGACTTTGTGGTTGACTAGTTGCACTAGTGAGTAGTGAGTCGTCTACTGAAATCTCTTATGTCACTTGGAACATTGGTGTCGTTTTATTTTTTAGTTGTTCTATTTTTTGCCCTTTATTGGACTAAAAAAACCATTCTTTTTTTAATTTGAAAGTTACATATTTACCCCTATATTAAATTATTAAACTTACTTTTAATTCGTTATTCTTTACTAAGGCTTTTAACACATCATTTATTATCAAAACCCTAAATCTTATATGCTCATTCAATAAAGTTAAAAGCATTAGTATTAACATAGTGATAAAAATAGAGAAACTAATTTAAAATTCACATAATTTTTTTAATTTAAATTTTAAAGTAAATCATATTGAGAATCGTCTTTTTTTAATGCAATAAAATATTATAAATAAAAATCTTGTTAATAGCTATTTACTTATTATTTATTATGAACTTAATAGTAATAAATTCAAAGTAAGAAAAAATCCGGCCCTAAGATTCTCACAGTGGAACACATGATTGTCAAAGTCAAGAAGAAAAGAGAGACAACTTCTGATAAAGTTGAAATAAGTGAGAGACTAAAGAATTGTCACGAAATTTCCGTGAACCTTCCGCAGGAAGCTATTGGCATTTTTTTCCTTGTAGTTTTCTTTGAAGACCACGTGAAGATGAGAAAAAAAACCTCTGATGTCCTTGAGCCGACCATTGGTGTCGTTTTATGTTTTTAGTGGTTCTAAAATCTTAATCTCTTCACTTTATGTTCAATCATTTATTCAATTTATCAATAATCACTTATTTTTCTGCTGTTGGTCACTTTTTTGCCCTCTAATTTAAATATTAATATATATTTTTTTTTTTAACCCTTTATATTTAAAATTTTGTTAAAATACTTCAATTATATAACTTTAATTCCAGATTCCTGGAATATTTATATAATATTAAAAAAAAGGGCAAGTAAATGAAGGTGTTATTGGTTCACGAAAGGGCCAATAAAATAAACGATTCAAGTGGTTTAAAGAACAAAGAGACCCTACATAGTGATAATTGTGGGGCCCTGGAAAATATGCCAAATGTCTTTGTGGCCATCGTTTGCACAACTTGCAAGCAATAAGCCACTGAAACGTCTTCATTCTTGTGGTAATTTAAGAATATATATTAAACTAATTATTGATTAAGAAAAATGTGATATAATTAAGAACTATTGCTTGGAGTGAAATTTGCATATTTTCAGAATTTTTTTTTTTCTAAATTGAAATTAATTTTTTTTTTTTGGCCAAAAGAATTGTTTTGAGTAGAAACCACATCTTGGTTGCTTAATTAACGAAAACTTGTAATCAGAATGTATAATAGGAAGACTCTATTCTTCGAACAGTTTACTAAAAATATGGATAATGAGCAAGTATATTGTGATTGTCAAAACGGGACAGAAATGGCCGAAATGGAAGAAGATCGAGTCACCCGTAGCAAGATATTATAGACAACATGATGACTGTACGAGATAACATAAAGAATGCACTGTGGATCATGTCGTAGTTGTTAATAAGTATACGGTGTAGAACGATTGTAAGGTTAATTTAGTACTTTTGTCATATATGTATTAATATATGTTTTTAAACAGTTGGATTAGCACTTGAAATTAATATGGGTTTACATTTTTTAATATTTATTAGTTACAAATTACCAATAAAATGTTAATATATTAAAATGTAAATTGATAAGTCTTAAGGTTATAATAATACATTATTTTAACAAAATACACCAAAATATTTATTAATAAATCATTTATAAAAATATATCAATCAAATATTCAACACAAATATCAAGGTCAAATACTCTACCAAACTATATTCTTCAAGTCCTATTCTCGTAATCATAACTCCACTCAACTATCCAATATTATTCCCAAAATCCTATCTAAATAATAAAAACAAACGGACCCATTATTACACAGTTTCTGGTAAAGTAGAATTAATGCAGAGAGACTCAAGAAAAAGAAATAGATAATAATGGCCACGAATTTTCCATGAACCTTCCTGCAGGAAGCCATTGGCATTTTCTTGCTGTAGTTTTCCTTGAAGACCATGTGAAGGGGAGAAAAAAGAAAACTATGAACACAAACTTGGAATTTTGATCCACTGATTTAAACTACACATTTACTTGACTTCTTTACATACATATTTTTTGATCATTTTTATGAATCACATCCCATATCTTTAAAAACAATAGAGCAAACGATATGTTCACACTAGAGATTAATCGAAATCTCAAGCTCATACCCCTAACTATTTTATTCCAGATTTTCACTCTTAAACTAACACCGTTAGTGACTATTAAAGGTAATCGAAATGATGAGTGAAGTTGACAACGTATAATTTTGTAGAGGAGGTTATGAGGAGCCAACGGTAACATCGGAAATGATTTTGGATTTCGGAACCGGCCAAAAAAAAGCCAAAAACTACCTTTTATTGACTAAAAAATCCATTCTTTTTAATAATTTTAAGTTACATATTTACCCCTATATTAATTATTAAACTTATTTATCGCCCTTTATTGGACTAAAAAACCACAGTTTTTAATTTTTTTTATAATTATATATTTACCCGTATATTAAATTATTAAACTTACTTTTAATTCGTTTTCTTTACTAATGCTTTAACACACCACTTATATATCAAAACTCTAAATCTTATACGCTTATTCAATAAAGTAAAAGCATTAGTAATTAACATAGTAATAAAAATAGAGAACTAATTTAAAATTAACATATTTTTTTAATTTAAATTTTAAAGCAAATCATATTGAGAATCATCTTTTTTCAAAGCAATAAAATATTTATAATAAAAATCTTGTTAATAGCTATTTACTTATTATTTATTTATGAACTTAATAGCCATAAATTCAAAGCAAAGAAAAACCCGGCCCTAATTTTCTCACAGTGTAACACATGATTGTCAAAGTCAAGAAAGAAAAAGAGGAGACAACTTCTGATAAAGTGGAAACAATGGGAGACACTAAAGAAAAAGAAATCAGTTAATTTGTAATGAAATTTCCACCAAATTTCTGCTACTTTCTCTGCAATTTACTTTCAAGAGTGAGCAAAGAAGAGATAAAAATAGAGACATCATTCATAACAGCAGCAAAGTTTTATTGTTTTCCATCGCTTCAACATCCTCATTGATCTTCATTGATCTTACATACATTTTCTGAAGCAATTCAGATCTGCCTCCATTGTTTTTTCCGTAACATACTATGACTTTTTATATCTATTATTTTTTTTTTTCAGATTTTATTTAAATTTTTGTATAATTTTAGGAAAGGACTAATGCTTCTATGTTTCAATTTTCAGTTTCCTGTAGCTCTGAGTGTTAAATCTGAATTTCCAAGACTAATTAAAGGTAAGTACCTCTATTGTTCCCAGATTTTTTTTAATTTCAATTTCAATTTTTTTGTTTTCTCTCCTATTAAGTACTTATTCATGTGTCTTAAATGTCACTTAATGTATATCCTACTCTTTTGAAATATTACTAGTATATATGCTTATCAGTATTGTTCTAGAAATATAAATTAATTTGACTTTGACGAATAATTTTACAGTTCATATCTGGTTTACATACTTTCTCAGAGCAATTACATCTCTCTACAATCATTCAGTCTGGATCCATTTGTTAGTTTGGTGACATATATACTTGAACCTTTTATATGTTCTATTTTTCTTTGATTTATTTTAATTTTATAATTTTATGAAAAATTAGAATCTATGTTTCAAAAAAGCTGAACATGTAGTCAAATTTGGTTGAAGATTTACCGATATTTATAGTGTCTCAAAGTTGTTTCCAGTGACGGGTGTGTTAGATCTAAACTTCCAAGGCTAATTAGTAAGTGGTGCCTCTATTGTTTGGTAGATTTATTTTGTTTTTGTTTTGTTTTCTCCCTTTATAAACTACTTATTCACATGTCTTTTAATTTTTAGATGGTAAAAATGTGATATCATGTTTTAATTTATAATTAAAAAGCAATAATACAATAATCAAAATATTTTTCACCGTTTCCTCTATTTTCAAGATTTATTTATCAAATATGCTTATATATTATTTTAATTATATATTGAATTACTAGGAATGTTAATGAATTTTTTATAATTATATATTAATATAATTTTTTATTTCTCAATTACTTCAATTTAATTCCTAATGGTGTTTTTTTGATTGATGAAAATGTCATTATATTTTGTCTACTAAACAGAACTGAAAAGCATTTCATCAGTTGTAGTCGATGGCTGGTTCTTCGCTTCCACCAACAATCCTTCTTCATCTTCCACCAACAATCCTTCTTCGTCTTCCACCAACAATCTTTCAGAGAAGAATGACGTTTTTCTTAGTTTTAGAGGCGAGGACACCCGCAACGGTTTCGTGAGCCATCTCTATGCGGCTTTGCGTCGTAGAGAGATTAAACCTTTCATTGATGACCAAATTGACAAAGGAGATCAAATTTCATCATTTCTTTTGAATACCATTGCATCAAAGATTTCAGTCATCATTTTCTCAGAAAATATGCATCTTCTAGATGGTGCCTCCAAGAACTTGAACAAATCCTTTACTGCAAGAAATAAAGAGCAGATTGTTATACCCATTTTCTATCACGTAATCCATCGGATGTGAGGAATCAAACAGGAATTTTTGGAGATGGATTAGCTGAGCTTGAAAAACGTAAGAAGGTGAAGTTAAGACGCTGCAGAGATGAAGACTGCTTTGAATGAAGCAGCTAATCTAGGTGGCCATACTATAAATTATCAAAATGTAAGTTTTAATTTCATAATATTTCGCTTTTGTAATTCTTTAGTGTATTAAACACTTCCGAATGCTTGAATTGATGAAAGCTATATAACACATAATTTCTAACTAATTAATTTTGTTTTGTTTGTTTATTTAGGCCTGAATCTAAACTTCTAGAAGAAACTGCCGACGATATTTTGGAGAAACTATATAAATTTTCTCCAAGTGATTATGGGGACTTGGTTGAGTAGAGTTTCCCCATAAAAAAATAGAGTCTTTGTTGCACAAGGGATCAATGGTGTTTCCAAAATAGGAATTTGGGGCATAGGTGGTGCTGGCAAGACAACTATTGCCCGTGTTGTATTCAACAATTTTTGAATCGTTTTGAAGGATCATATTTTGCTGAAAATGTTAGGGAAGAGTCAGAGAAAAGTGGGAGATTAACTCACTTGCAAGAAAAACTTCTTTCCAAAATATTAAAGGACAAAGATCCCAATTTAGGACTCACCTTCACAAGAGACAGACTTAAAAAAAAGAAGGTTCTCATTGTTTTTGATGATGTAACATCTTTACAACAGATAGAAAATTTGATTGGAAATCTTAATTTGTTGAGCTCAAAAAGTCAAATTATCATAACAACAAGGGATAAACAAGTGTTGAGAACTTGTGGAGTAGATGATGCTTATATATACGAGGTTAAGGGACTAAGTAAGAAGGAAGCTCATCAACTTTTTAATCAATATGCCTTTGAACAAGGCTCTCCTACTGAAGATTATATTAAGCTATCAAACCTAGTAGTAGCATATTCCAAAGGCGTTCCGTTGGCTCTTAAAGTGTTGGGTTGCCATTTGTGTTCCAAGGAAAAAGAATTTTGGGAAAGTACAATAAAAAAACTGGAAAAATGTCCTCTTTCGGGTATTCATAAGGTATTAAAAGTTAGTTATGATGGACTTGAGAAAGAGGAGAAGGATTTATTTTTAGATATTGCATGTTTCTTTAAAGGGGAACATAGAGATTCAGTGATAGAAACTCTAAATGCTTGTGACATTTCTGCAAAGCAAGGAATACAAGTTCTTATTGATAAGTGTCTTGTGTTTGTGACATACAAAAATGAAATAACAATGCATGATTTGCTTCAAGAAATGGGTAGGAAAATTGCTCGGGATGATACTTGCAAAAACAAACGACTATGGCATCCTACGGATATCATCGAAGCATTTAAAAAAAAAAAGGTAAGGGTTAGCTATACTTATTTATAAATAGATAGATAACTTTGAGAGTGAGTTTAAAATTTTGACACAAATTTTAATTAATGTCTGGTTTAAGGATATCTAACGAGAGATTATGGTATTTATTATTACTATTATTATTTTCTTTCTAATAAAGTCTTCCTTGTACCAAAGGCTTGCCAAAAAAGAAAAATGTTTTATATTATCAATTATATTTTTATTTTCCTTAAAACTCAAGCTTCTATATTTACATTTTTTCTTTTTGTAAATTGTTTATTGTTATACAATTAATTATTTCCTTTTATGTATTGTCTCAGTCTCTTAGTTCAGATTTTATTAAAATAACATGTCTTCAATTCAAAGAAAGCATAAATACATCAAAAAGAAATATATCATATATACATGTTCTACCTTTGTATGCATAGTCTTACTTTTCAAGCATAATTATTGTTGTTGTTATTGTTATCCTATTTATTTTATTCTCTACAGCTGAAATCCGAAATCTTTATTTGTTTTAGTCAGCTTAATGTTTCTATTCCCTAGAGTATTTGTTTGTAATTGATTCATAATTTATTTTTAATAAAAAAATTAATTTTGTATCTTAATTTACGTATGAAGCTTTAATTAATTTGACCAGGCTAACAAGTAATGGTTAGTAAACTTTAGCTTAATTAATTAGTTTGATTTAATGGGAGTCTTTTACCATTAAAAATAAAAAATAAAAAATTGAGCTTTGTATCTTGTATTCTAACTGACCGTCTCTTTTGGCTGTTAGGGAAGGGATGCAGTGCGAAGCATAAATTTGGACATATCTAAAATAAGCAATGCAGGCTTAAATTTTCATGTTTTGTCAGAGATGGATGACTTAAGATTCTTCAGAGTATACAACTCATACCATTTAAATTCTTCAGATTGTTATGAAAATAAGTTGCATGGTTTTGAAGACCTTGAATCCTTTCCTAGTGACATAATATTATTCAGTTGGAATAATTATCCATTTAAATCACTGCCATTAAGTTTTCCTCCAGAGAGCCTTGTTAGACTTGATATGCCAAAAAGCAAAGTTAAGCATTGGAACGGTGTTCAGGTATGTAATATGGTATTTATCTTTCGAAAATTATAAATATAAAAGGCATTAATTTGAGTTGGTCATGATTTGTTTGCTTTCTTATAGGATCTTGTAAATTTGAAATCTGTTGATCTCAGTTACTCCGAACACATGACAGAGATTCCAAATCTCTCAAGAGCCTCAAATCTTAAGGAATTGATTTTACGAGAATGTTCAGGTTTGCTCAAGATAGCTCCCTCATCTATTCAAAATCTCAATGAGCTTGCTAAGCTGGATCTAAGTGGTTGCAAAAGGCTTATTAGTCTGCCAGATGGCATCTGTAAGTTGAAATCTCTCGAATGGCTTTATCTTAACAAATGCTCCAAATTGGAAAGATTACCTGATGACTTTGGAGATTTAAAAGCTTTGGTGTCTCTCGAAGCTAGAAAGACAGCCCTAAAAGAAGCACCATCATCCATTTTACTCTTGCCAGAATTATCCGACTTAGCCATATCTCATTATTATGAAGATCAGACACCCCTTAATTGGGTATTGAATTCTTCATCAGGTTCAAGCTCTTTAATGGATCTTTGGTTATCAAACTGTCAAATCACCAAATTACCTGAATGTCTTGGAGAATTTTCCTTGCTGGAATTGTTAGATCTAAGTGGAAATAATTTTGAGAGCATACCAAACATCGGAGGGCTTTCTTACTTGTCGACGCTAGACATAAGTAATTGTCGGAGACTTCAACTATTGCCAGAGCTTCCAATGGGTGTATCTGTGTGCGCATCTAATTGCTTGTCCTTGCAATCAATATCAGATCCATCATTTCTATTATTACCTCTTTGGAGACAACGGGCATCAATTTTTGTCAATTGTTTTGAATTGGATCTACCTAAAATTCTTCATGAGGTACCTATTTTGATGCTTTCTCCTTTTTCATGATGTTAGTTGTTTTTTAAAAGCAATGGGAAAAAAAAAAAAAAAAATCTGAAGCTAAAACTATGTTATGATGTGATGATTTTCATTTTCATTGGTACAGGAATCTTGTCGAGAATTTTGTGCTGATATCATTTTCCCTGGAAATGAAATTCCTAAGTGGTTTACCTTTCAAAATACAGGATCTTATATAGCTCTTGATCAACCACTAGATTGGCATAATAAAAACTTTCTAGGTTTTCTTGCATCTGTTGTTTTGCCACCAAGTTCGTATGAGTTTCCTTATTACGCTGCTATCTGTTACTGTTTGGTCAAAAGTAAAAATGGTAAGCAGCAAATTTATTCTTCTAACATTCAATCTGATTATTTCGCCTTCGGTCGATTTTGTTCAGAAGATGCCTGGTCAGATCATGTAGTATTAAGCTTTCATTCTATAAATAAAATGACATTTAAGAAGTGCGAGGGGGAATATCATGAAATTTATTCTGAGATGAAGTCATTAAATTGTAAAGTGCTCATCAAATTTATAGCTAGACACAAAGGAGTGAAAAAGTGTGGGATTCAAAAGTGTGGGATTCATTTCTTGTATGTTGGAGCTTATGGAGAACCATCGGAAACATCCAGAAGAAGTGTTGACAATGCTAAAAAGAAAGGGAAAGAGAAAGATGAACTACAATCCAATAAATTGCAAATTTCAAATCCCTTTGATGGTATATGCAGCTTAAGGTAAATAATAAATATATTTTTTTTTTAGCTCAATAATGTTTTTCGATTCTTTTAATTTATTTTGTCTAATAAAAAGTAATTATATATATCTCATTTGGTACTAAAATTTATGTCATCTCATGTGGTGCATAATTTTATGTAACATTCTGAAGTCACTTAACATATCAACACATCACCTCTAAAGTCTTATATATAATACAAAATAAAAATCATTAGAGATCAAATTTTATATCAAATTTCATGTCAATGTTATTTGCTTGACTTAATCTTTGGTTGACAGGCCTCATTTCATGTCAAAATCTCCATATGACAATCCTAATATTTTTAAAAGTTGTCTAGAAGAACGGTATTGGAAATTGAAAAGGAATGCACTCAGAGAAACTGTGAAAAATGCTCTGCTAAGTTTTCAGCAAAGTACAACTTTATGCTCAGAAATTGAAGAGGTCTCTCTCCTATCATACAAAGTCAATTCTTATTTTTATTTTTTGTTGAATAAAAATTTTGATGTTAAATTAACAATGCTAGATTTTTTTTTATTGCAGATGAACTGTGTGAATCCAAAAGGTTGTATGAGTTTCCCAGGAAGTGAAATTCCAGAGTGGTTTAGCTTTCAAAATGCTAGCTATAATATAAAACTATCATCGGGCTCATTCCATGATGCAATTGACACATGCCATAATCCATTTGCTGGTTTGGCTTTCTGCACTGTTGTAGAGTTCCCAGATTTGCTAGATTTGGGCCAACCTTTCTTCGTTTATTGTATGATGGATATCAAATATCTTAATGATCCCTACGAGACTTTTGCAATTGGGTCTATAAAAGGTTGGTTCGAAGGAGATAGAACTCACTACATTAAATCAGATCATGTGTTCTTGGGATATGATTGTGTTATGTATAGTGGTGAAACTCGGACATTATTTAATCATGAGGTTGAGATCAATTTCGTAGTTACCACTTATGATATGGTTCCCATAGAAGGTTGTAAGGTGAAAAAGTGTGGAGTTCATCTATTGTGCCCTGAAGATTACAAATGGAAGGATCTAATAGATCTTTCATCTTTAAAGAGAAAGCTAAAACTCAATGGAAATGGCCGCTATAACGATGAACCACCATCCGATGACTTTTCCGCTGCATGCAATTGCCAATTTAAGAGTTCTGCTACTTCTTTGGATTTGAATGAAATGTTGGATACAACTGAACCGCTCTCCAAGAGATTGAAAGTATGCAACTATAAAAATAAGTAAGTTTTCCTTCTGCACCTCATTTTAATTATATGATTAGTTTCTATTTTCCTAATTCATTCTTGTGGAAACTCTTGTTCACCTAATGGAATATGATTATGGGATTCTTATAAAATTATAAAATTTATATATATCATTTAAGTAATGCCAAGTCTAAAATAGTACAATAACCTCTACATTAACTTTTTTTTTCTAAATTAATTATGTGAAAACTAATATTAATATGACTTAAAATATTATGAAATTTAATTCTAAGTATATAAAATGAACTCATTTGGGAACCAGTAGAGTTGATTATGATCATTATCTTTTGAAATAATTTTGTTGTTAATCATAAAGTATTACTGATTTTATATAATTCAGTTCTTAATCATAAAATATTTAATATGATCAAATAAACATATGTAATCTGCATGTAATTGTTTGTTAATTGCTTATTTTAAAATATGATTGCCTTTAAAGTAATCTTATATAGAATCAAATTAATTTCTTTTAATTGCATTGATTTATTTCATATATTAATTATCTGATCATGATGTTTGATTTGGTTTTGTTGTATCAATAATTGTGATGTCAAAAGGGAAATAGAAGTGGCAGAGTTGAATCCAAGTAGAAGTCAACCCATTGGCTTTGCTGATTCTGATTCTGATTTTGATTTTGATTCTGATGAACCGCAACCTAAAAGACTTAAAGAATCCAAATTGCTTTGAATGGTAAGGAAGTCCAAATCTCTATTTCTAATCCATTTATATCTAATTAATTTTGCTCTCAATTTCTAATCTATGCATCATAAAATAATTATGTAGAAGCTGAATGATATTTTGGAGAGAAGAATAATACGTATCAATATATAAGCACATTTTACGTAGATTTATGACCTGTTTCTAACAATAACATAAATATAAAAAGTTGTTACCTTTTTTATTTATTTCAATATTTAGAGTTATTAGAAAACTACCTAAAAAATTTATTTACTTCTATATTTACTTAAAAATTTCAGTATAATCCCTATTTTGTCATTCAGTTTTTCAATACTGTACTGTAAATAATAGAATTTTTTTTACAATTTTATAGGTTGTCCTGTTTAGATATTAATTTGATCTATATATGTATATTAATGTATATGTCACCAACAATTAAACATTTTCCCTCCATTTTGTTCCTCTATTTTATGTCTCCACTTAACAATTAAACAATTGCCTATTTCAATTTAAATCTTCTATCTAGATTGATTCTTATATATTTCATTTGATTCCTGGATTCTGGTGCAATGATTGAGGAAAGTTTTACTGATGATCTTGAATTCATTGCTTATTTGACATCATGAGACATATGTCGGTTACATGTATTTACTGTATGTGTGATGTGGTAGCAAGACGATGCTAAATGTAAATGGTATAAATGAAATACCAATTTTAGACATTTCTTATTTCCTTGAGGCATGTGGCATGCCACCTTATAAAGCATGCGTGATGTATAAGTTGACTAAGACTTGGTCCATGAATTCCCTTCATCTGTTCTCCAGCGATTTTCACTTGCTGTAGNAAAGTAAAGAAAAAATCCGGCCCTAAGATTCTCACAGTGGAACACATGATTGTCAAAGTCAAGAAAGAAAAAGAGGAGACAACTTCTGATAAAGTTGAAATAATGGAGAGAGACTAAAGAATTGTCACGAAATTTCCGTGAACCTTCCCGCAGGAAGCTATTGGCATTTTTTTCCTTGTAGTTTTCTTTGAAGACCACGTGAAGATGAGAAAAAAAAACCTCTGATGTCACTTGAGCCGACCATTGGTGTCGTTTTATGTTTTAGTGGTTCTAAAATCTTAATCTCTTCACTTATATGTTCAATCATTTATTCAATTTATCCAATAATCACTTATATGTTCTGCTGTTGGTCACTTTTTTGCCCTCTAATTTAAATATTAATATAATATTTTTTTTTTTAACCCTTTATATTTAAAATTTTGTTAAAATACTTCAATTATATAAACTTTAATTCCAGATTCCTGGAGATATTTATATAAATATTAAAATAAAAAGGGCAAGTAAAATGAAGGTGTTATTGGTTCACGAAAGGGCCAATAAAATAAACGATTCAAGTGGTTTAAAGAACAAAGAGACCCTACATAGTGATAATGTGGGGGCCCTGGAAAATATGCCAAATGTCTTGTGGGCCATCGTTTGCACAACTTGCAAGCAAATTAAGCCACGTGAAACGTCTTCATTCTTGTGGTAATTTAAGAAATATATATTAAACTAAAATTATTGATTAAGAAAAATGTGATATAAGATTAAGAACTATATGCTTGGAGTGAAATTTGCATATTTTCAGAATTTTTTTTTTTCTAAATTGAAATTAATTTTTTTTTTTTTTGGCCAAAAGAATTGTTTTGAGTAGAAACCACATCTTGGTTGCTTAATTAACGAAAACTTGTAATCAGAATGTATAATATGGAAGACTCTATCTTCGAACAGTTTACTAAAAATATGGATAATGAGCAAGTATATTGTGATTGTCAAAACGGGACAGAAGATGGCCGAAATGGAGAAGGATCGAGTCAACCGTAGCAAGATATTATAGACAACATGATGACTGTACGAGATAACATAAAGAATGCACTGTGGATCATGTCGTAGTTGTTAATGAAGTATACGTGTAAGAACGATTGTAAAGGTTAATAATTAGTACTTTTGTCATATATGTATTAATATGATGTTTTTAAACAGTTGGATTAGCACTTGAAATTAATATGGGTTTACATTTTTTAATATTTATTAGTTACAAAATTACCAATAAAATGTTTAATATTATTAAAATGTAAATTGATAAGTCTTAAGGTTATAATAATACATTATTTTAACAAAATACACCAAAATATTATATTAATAAATCATTTATAAAAAAATATATCAATCAAATATTCAACACAAATATCAAGGTCAAAATACTCTACTAATAATATATTATTTTAATAAAATACACCAAAATATTATATTAATAAATCATTTATAAAAAAATATATCAATCAAATATTCAACACAAATATCAAGGTCAAAATACTCTACCAAACATATATTCTTCAAGTCCTATTCTCGTAATCATAACTCCACTCAACTATCCAATATTATTCCCAAAATCCTATCTAAAATAATAAAACAAACGGACCCATTATTACACAGTTTCTGGTAAAGTAGGAATTAATGCAGAGAGACTCAAAGAAAAAGAAATAGATAATAATGGCCACGAAATTTCCATGAACCTTCCTGCAGGAAGCCATTGGCATTTTCTTGCTGTAGTTTTCCTTGAAGACCATGTGAAGGGGAGAAAAAAGAAAACTAATGAACACAAACTTGGAATTTTGATCCACTGATTTAAACTACACATTTACTTGACTTCTTTACATAACATATATTTTGATCATTTTTATGAATCACATCCCATATCTTTAAAAACAATAGAGCAAACGATATGTTCACACTAGAGATTCAATCGAAATCTCAAGCTCATACCCCTAACTATATTTATTCCAGATTTTCACTCTTAAACTAACACCGTTAGTGACTATTAAAGGTAATCGGAAATGATGAGTGAAGTTGACAACGTATAAATTTTGTAGAGGAGGTTATGAGGAGACCAACGGTAACATCGGAAATGATTTTGGATTTCGGAACCGGCCAAAAAAAAGCCAAAAACTACCTTTTATTGACTAAAAAATCCATTCTTTTTAATAATTTTGAAGTTACATATTTACCCCTATATTAAATTATTAAACTTATTTATCGCCCTTTATTGGACTAAAAAAACCACAGTTTTTAATTTTTTTTATAATTATATATTTACCCGTATATTAAATTATTAAACTTACTTTTAATTCGTTATTCTTTACTAATGCTTTTAACACACCACTTATATATCAAAACTCTAAATCTTATACGCTTATTCAATAAAGTTAAAAGCATTAGTAATTAACATAGTAATAAAAATAGAGAAACTAATTTAAAATTAACATAATTTTTTAATTTAAATTTTAAAGCAAATCATATTGAGAATCATCTTTTTTCAAAGCAATAAAATATTTATAAATAAAAATCTTGTTAATAGCTATTTACTTATTATTTATTTATGAACTTAATAGCCATAAATTCAAAGCAAAGAAAAAACCCGGCCCTAATTTTCTCACAGTGTAACACATGATTGTCAAAGTCAAGAAAGAAAAAGAGGAGACAACTTCTGATAAAGTGGAAACAATGGAGAGACACTAAAGAAAAAGAAATCAGTTAATAATTGTAATGAAATTTCCACCAAATTTCTGCTACTTTCTCTGCAATTTACTTTCAAGAGTGAGCAAAGAAGAGATAAAAATAGGAGACATCATTCATAACAGCAGCAAAGTTTTATGGTTTTTCCATCGCTTCAACATCCTCATTGATCTTCATTGATCTTTACATACATTTTCTGAAGCAATTCAGATCTGCCTCCATTTGTTATTTCCGTAACATACTATGACTTTTTATATCTATTATTTTTTTTTTCAGATTTTATTTAAATTTTTGTATAATTTTAGGAAAGGACTAATGCTTCTATGTTTCAATTTTCAGTTTCCTGTAGCTCTGAGTGTTAAATCTGAATTTCCAAGACTAATTAAAAGGTAAGTACCTCTATTGTTCCCAGATTTGTTTTAATTTCAATTTCAATTTTTTGTTTTCTCTCCTATTAAGTACTTATTCATGTGTCTTAAATGTCACTTAATGTATATCCTACTCTTTTGAAATATTACTAGTATATATGCTTATCAGTATTGTTCTAGAAATATAAATTTAATTTGACTTTGACGAATAATTTTACAGTTCATATCTGGTTTAACATACTTTCTCAGGAGCAATTACATCTCTCTACAAATCATTCAGATCTGGATCCATTTGTTAGTTTGGTGACATATATACTTGAACCTTTTATATGTTCTATTTTTCTTTGATTTTATTTTAATTTTATAATTTTATGAAAAATTAGAATCTATGTTTCAAAAAAGCTGAACATGTAGTCAAATTTGGTTGAAGATTTACCGATATTTATAGTGTCTCAAAGTTGTTTCCAGTGACGGGTGTGTTAGATCTAAACTTCCAAGGCTAATTAGTAAGTGGTGCCTCTATTGTTTGGTAGATTTATTTTTGTTTTTGTTTTTGTTTTCTCCCTTTATAAACTACTTATTCACATGTCTTTTAATTTTTAGATGGTAAAAATGTGATATCATGTTTTTAATTTATAATTAAAAAGCAATAATACAATAATCAAAATATTTTTCACCGTTTCCTCTATTTTCAAGATTTATTTATCAAATATATGCTTATATATTATTTTAATTATATATTTAGAATTACTAGGAATGTTAATGAATTATTTAATAATTATATATTAAATAATAATTTTTTATTTCTCAATTACTTCAATTTAATTCCTAATGAAGTGTTTTTTGATTGATGAAGAATTCCTTATATTTTGGTCTACTTAAACATAACTGAAACTGCATTTCATCAGTTGTAGTCGATGGCATGGTTGTCTTCGTCTTTCCACAACACTCCTTCTCATCGCCACCCACAATCCTTCTTCTCTCCCATCCTTCTCGTCCCAACAATCTTTCAGAGAAGAATGACGTTTCCTTAGTTTGAGAGGCGAGGACACCCGCACGTTTCGTGACCCCATCTCTACGCGCTT